TGTTGTAATTTGCGATTCTGGGATCGCGTACACTAGGCTTCAAGAATGTTGCTTGCACTAGAAAAATATCTACGTTATAATCGCGAAGGAATTCCGCGATTTCGTCCCTTTGACCCTTTATGCCGTTTGCGTTGAAATACGAAACAACCAGAGCCCGAGGTTTTGTTCTACCTGCTGTTGTACTTCCCATTAAGGTGTTTTTATGGGTCTAATTAACGACGCGGCGGAGCGCGGTTTTATTGCGCGGACTATTGTCTTTTACGGTTGGCTCGTAAAAGCCCAAAGGGCTTCCACAAGCGTTTTATGTTGGCTAATTGCCCTAAGACGCTCGTTGCCAGATGTGGCGGCCGCTATTTTAGCGGACAATACGGCGAGTTCCTGCCTATTGATCGTGTCTAATAGGCTGCAGATGTTTGCGATTTGCGCAAATGGGTCGTCTTTATTTTCCGCGAAAACCGACGGAGTTGTCTGCACCTGCGGCCGCGGCGCCGTTTGACAGGCGGGCAGCGATTGTGCGATCGGTCATGAGGCGACCGGGATTACCGGCGTGGTTACCTGCGCGGCCACCTGGGGTTTCGCCCAGGCGTTTATGACGGGTACGGGCGCGGGAATGAATTTAACGGGCGCGGGTTTGGGCAACGTAGATTTCGCGGGAGATTTTCTCGCGGGAGTTTTCGGGGCCCTGGCGCAACCTCTATAACTAGCCGGGTGGCCGGTAGCGTGACAGTTTACGCAGTCCGGTGGATCTGCGCAATCTTTAGGCCTCGTGCACTCGGATGTGCCGTGGTCACCGGTGCATTTGACGCACCTAGGGTGAGCGAAGCAGTTGTTTGCCGTGTGGCCAAAATGTTGACAGTTGTGGCACTGTGCCACAACTCCTGATTTACGCGGGGGCTCGATGACTAAGTCACTGAGCCCTAAAGAGGGTCTTTAGGTTGAAGATGGCCTTACCTTCAGGGTTAGGGTCAAGTTCAACCATTACCATGTCCATAGGGACACGGGTGCGAGGGTGTCTGAGCCGACGTACGGCGTGTACAGGGTATCCCTGTGTGCGGATGTCGACCTTAGCCCTATCGACATCCGATTCTTTCGGGACGCCCTTGATAACGACCCGAAGTTTACGCTCTTCGGGTAGTGAGTAGGTGTGGAAACCTACCTTGGCTTCGCGCAAGTATTTTGTTACGCGGCGGAAATCGTCCGTGGAGTCAAGGTATACACGGATACCCATATTAGTATTTTTGGACCGGGGGTCACGGATGTTGTGGCGTTCAAACCACGAACACACCTGGTGCCACTTTGCCTTTTCTTGAATTATTATTGGCGGCGGTGGCTTGATTTTTCGCTCGGAGGCGAATGTCGGTTCCAACTGGGCAGTCGTGGCTGCCTTTTTGGCGGGCGTCGCGGTGGGACGGTTTGACGGGGCGGCCTCGCTTTCGGGGTCGCTGTCAGTAGCGGGGCGTTTCTTGCCCTTTTTGCGCGATTTGACGACGGTGAAGCCGTCGACGTTCGCGTTGTTCGCGGGGGTCGTTTCGACCTCCATGTCTGAGCCGCCGTCCGATTGTGAGTCGGGTACGACGGAGCGAAAAGAGGTCGGGTTCGGTTGCACGGAAGGCGCTACGGGCGAGTGGGCGATAGCGGATGCCGACGCGACGGGGGCTTCTAAGGTCGCGGAGGGCGACGGGGTAACGGGCGCAGACGGCGCGGGAAATGGCGGTGATGCGAGATCAGCTACTTGCCTATGCTCGGCTTTATAGGCAAGAAAACGTTCCCACATAGCGGGGCATTCCTTGCGTACGAACTCCTCGAAAAGGGAGCCCATCGCGGCGGAAGTGTCTTTGGGGCTTGTAGCCCCGCCGGCGTGTGTGAGCTAAATAAGCCTCCCCCCCCCACCTTGCGGCAGGGAGGTGTGTGCCTAAAAATAACAACTAATTTGCCTGCGCTTCAGGTGCGCTAGGGTGGGTACCTAGCTGTCGCCTATTGCAACAAGCACACAGTTAATAAATGAAACAATGCCGCCTCTGAGGCGAGAAGTGTGTGTAGGATTCTACTTACAAAACAGGAACCTGCCTACGAGCACAACACTACACTAACCTACTGCACTATTTGCACAAGATTTAAATTGCAACCGAGGTTGCGAGTGGCGTCTAATTCGGGTGGCATGTGCCCTCCGTCTTAGAGAGACGTCCGTTCCGTACGAGAGCACGAAGCGGAATCGTGATGGTAACGACACGCTGTATAACATTCAGATTAAAAGAAAAACAATTATATCTGTGTTAGCAACATGTTATTTGTTTTTAGATTATATATTATATATCGTGCGACCCGAATGGCGTAGTGGGTAGTGTACCTGCCTCCTGGGCCAGAGGGTGTGGGTTCGATCCCCACTACTGGAAAAATTTTGTTTAATGAACGTTGTGTTTTTTTAGTGTTTGGGTCTTTATATATGTATAACATGTATTCATTTACAACAGAAAAGCATATTTATCAGTTATCTAGTACCCATCGTACAAGCTTTCCTTAGTTTGGGACTAGAGAACTTTGTGTAAGAATGTTTATTTATTTATTTATATCTATATAATATAATAAATTCGTTGATTGCATATTTGTCCTCCATGTAAGGTGTTCAGTGGAAGCATGCGACGGTTTCTGGGTCCAAAAATCGGTGTCTACATAAAAAAGGGCTTTTCGTAATTTAGGTGGGTACCTAGCTGTCACCTATTGCGACAAGCACAAAGTTAATAAATAAAGCAATGCCGGCTCTGAGACGAGAAGTGTTTGAAGGATTCTACTTACTCACATAAAAAATTGTAACGAAAAATGTTATTTGACAAAGAGCTACAGTAAGCCGGTGAGTGGCACGCTACGAGAGCGAGGGCTTGATGCAGGACCAAGAACGAGACAAGCCGATGCGTTTCGTCACGCAGCCTTAAATAGATCGGATGCTTCAGGTCTCCTTCGATCAGTCCTTCATGCCGACAAAAGATATAGCTGAATATTTGCTCTATCAAAACTATTCCCAAATCTTCCCAAACTATCTATTCATATAACAAAAGTGTAACTGATCGTTGTCTGTACTTATTAAATGAAACTACTTTACGGATTTTATCGCGTTTTTTTATTTTAATTTAAATTCCCGACGTTTCGAACCCTTTCCAGCGTTCATGGTCACGGGACAGACTAAGTTGTTAGACGTCTTGATGTCATAGTTAACCCCGGCTACCGTCAATTATTTTGTTTATTTTTATTCCGATCCACGCAGAAGGAGCTTATGGTATCTTGAGGTCTGGCAGTGTTGGTGTGCTTGGATTTAATTTTATAAATTATGGGATCCCAAGCAGATGATAAACTCCAACCATCTTCTCTATTGAAATTAGGATGTTTCTTTATTTCAATAGCCTCGCGGATCATCCTTGGAAGGAATTTAAGGTATTTAGAAAAAAATATTATTGGGGGCCTTTATCAACGCAATAGAACTCAAAACAATGATTTATAAATTTTTGTCTCTTTATCTGTTTGTTTGTGCGCGCTAATCTCAGATGAAAAAATAAGCATTGTAGTAAGCTTCACTTAACATTTACTGTTACTTTTATTTAAATCACCTCATAAATAAAAAAGTTATATGAACTTAAAGAGCCACATTGAAGATTTGGGCGATAAATGCTATATTATAGCTACAACTGAATTGGACGAAACTATAGTAAACTATATATTATGGTCTTATGTAAAATGATGATTAATATTGATAGTTTACATAAAGTTAAGAAACCCGACCAAGTGCAAGTCGGAATCGCGCACGAATGTGCGGCGGTGGGTCGAAATGCTCCGATATTTCCGCCATTGCATAGCGGGTCTTACTCGATCCACCAGCATTGGGTAGATTAAAATGCTATAACTTTGCGAAAACATGACGTATACAGTTTTTTTTGTACTGTTAGAATGACCTTGAACCCAAATTCCTTCGGTTCTATTCGCCCCTGGATCAGGAAATGAGACAGGAACCTGGGATAGCGGCGAGCGGGTATTGCACGATATAAATTAAAGTACATGCGGGCGGAGCCGCGGGCTAAAAGCTAGTTTTTAATATTTTACCAAATTGAATACACTTCAATAATTATAATTTACATATTACAATAAAATTTCAAATGCATGATACGGTTAGGTCATATTCCGCAAAAGTTAAAATGACATCATCATTTCAGCCTGTTAGAGTAAACTGGTGAGCATAGGCCTCCCCCACAGACTGCCACGAAGGCACTGTGCCTATGCACAGGTCATCACTCCATCTAGTGGGGGGTAGTCCTACACTACATTTGCCAGTACGACGCTGGCACTATAGAACCTTTCTCCCCCAACGATTATCGGTTCTATGAGCTATATGGCCGGCCCATCGCCGCTCCAGCTTACTAATCTTCTGAGCTATGTCGGTTATCTTTGTTCTACTGCGGATGTCTTCGTCACGAACTCTTTACGAGAAAGTCCGTGCATAGCCCGATCCATAGCTCGCTGAGCGACTTGAGCTTCCTCATATGGCCAGCAGTGAAGAACCACGTCTCGATTCCGTAGATCATCGCTGGCAACGCATAACACACAACAACAAACATTGAGAAATATTCGACGAGAAAAATCACATAATTTCTGTTAAAATCGTATTACGCTCACGAACTGCCCCATATTGGGATGGAGAGATAATGAGCATTTTGTGACTGCTATTTTTAAAATTTACTTTATGCACATAATAATGTTAGCCAGATACTTACGTATGTTTAGTGATGGAACCGGGGCCTATTTTAGAGTTGGGCGCATTTATAACCGCGTCGCCGCAGATACGTTGTCATTAAGTAATAGTTGAACCACCTGCTCGCTTGTACTTTCCCACATAATAAGTGTAAAAACATAAAGAAGACAAGGTAAGTAATAAAATAGATGAAATGATAAAATATAAAAATGAAAGACCAATAAAAGTAATACCAACTTTAATGTAATGGTAATTTATTTTTTAGATGGAGAGCAAGTTGTTCTATGTACCCTTGGTGCTTTTTGTTTTCCTTCAACAGGGCGTTGATGGTAAGTTTTTATACATGTTTCATCTGACCGAACACTTTTGTGATTGTAATAATTGCTCATGGCATTCATTTAATTTTTGATCTAGACATAAATTGAATTCACTGTACTTCGCACAGTCATTTCATTATTTTGATGTCTCGGTATCAAATGTCTTACATTCAGGGATTTAATTCTAAATTAAACATCGTTTAGGGGTTCTTGCCAAAAAATTTACGCCACGGATTACGCCACCCTTTATTAACTTTTTCAGTTATATTTTTTTAAATGAATCTCTTCTATGCCATCATTTTTCATGATATGATTATCGCTGATACCACGAACACTAAAGAAACAATACAGGTGGACGTGTTAGTTCTTTAACAGGTCCAGTAAGCATAAATTTCTAACTTCAATTCAAAGATCGGATGGAAGCATGACAAAAATAATTTTATATATTTAATATTCATGTTATAAATTAATCTTTCTAAAAACATGCATAAAATGAATTGCTATACGCGCTATATCTGGTGGTGGCCGTCTTTTGCTTATTAATTAAGTAAATGTTTAGACAAATAATGGAAGTTTTTTACTTATACAGTTCATACAAAAGCTCGATCAACTGGTTTCGGATCAAAACAAGGACCTCGATGCTCGTTTTTGTCACTTTATTACTTTTATTCGGTTTTAATATTGTTCATCAAATAGTACCATAGCACTATTAACAGACGATCCAAAATGGTGCATTCATACCGCGACCTTGGTTCGCTTCGGACTATATTCGATTCGATCGTGAGGCGAAAGGTGCGAGCGCCTGTCTCAGACCAATTAAAAAGAACAGACAGAACATTGCTCTCATATAAGTGAGGCACGTAATATGCAGACAATTCGGTCATATGAAGACGGCCGGTTGGCAGACCGCCGCGAGTGCATGACGTAGTTTTAATGTAATAATAATTGCGAAATTAAGCAGTTCTGTGTCATAAAGGCTTGAAAACTAAAGTCATGTTTTCAAAAAAGTGTTCTGGGTTTACTTTACACGAGTAAGTAACCGATTTTCTGTATAATCTATACTATATTAATACGTGAAGCAAAAACTTTGTAGGTACCCCTTTTTAAGATAATTGCGCGGACGGAGGAGTATGAAATTTCCCACACTAATAGTATATATAGAGGAGTGCAGTTGACTCTTAAGACGGCGTTCGATAAAGTCTGGCACAACGGGCTCGTATACAAGTTATACGGGTTCGGAGTGCCCGACCGTCTCGTATGCATAATACGAGACTTCCTAAGTAATCGGAACTTTCGTTATCGCGTCGAGGGCGTGTGTTCGACAACGCATCCCTTTCGAGCCGGGGTGCCCCAAGGGTCGGTGTTGGGCCCAGTCTTGTTCACTCTCTACACCAATGACATGCCGCGTGTCAAAGATGTAGAACTTGCCCTTTTTGCCGACGACACCTGTATCTTTACCACAGGCAGAACACCCGAATTAATCCATCTACGCCTTCAAGCTGCGGCCATCACCATCGGTGACTGGTTTCGGCAATGGAGGACCGAGATCAATCCCGCCAAAAGCGCAGCCGTCCTTTTTGCACATAAAAAGAATATACCCAATCCACCCCCCGTTAAACTTATGGACAGCCCAGTACCATCGGTTAATAAAGTCAAATATCTAGGCGTCGTCCTCGATTCCCAGCTTAAATTCATCCAGCACGTGACCCAGGTCAGGAACCGGGCAGCCTTCGTACTCGGTCGCCTCTAACCGCTCCTCAATAAAACGTCAAAAATGTCCCTTCGGAACAAGGTGACCTTATACAAGGCAGTAGTTCGCCCTATCATGACGTACGCGAGCCCCGCAAATACACCGGCTTCAGGTCATTCAGAATCGATTCTTGTGCAGAGCCACGGGAGCACCCTGGTTCATGCGCAAAATCAACCTACATGTCGATCTAGAGTTGCCCACCATCGTCAATTCCTGAAGTCGGCGTCGCGCTGATACTTCGAATCCGCCGCCGCGCATCCCAACCCGTTAATCGTAGGTGCCGTCACTTACAGACCTTAACCGTTAAATACATTCCGCTGCGATTACCGCAGACCGCGACACGTTCTCGACTTCCCTGACGATGAGACGATTATCGCCATCGAAAGGTTCAAAAAACTTAGGAAACACACCAACACACACCGCACTCGCCGGCGAGTGCGGCAAACTTATACTAGGTTCCGCCACGTACCTGACAGGTTTTCCCCCATTAATGATAGAAGCGTTGCTGGAGTTTCTTCCGCCACTTCTTCTCCCAGCGCCAACGCTTTCCGAAGTGGTAGTAATATTAGATCTAGAAATTCCCAGTCAGATAATAGCTACCGATCGAGCCGTGGTCCGGCCCTCTCTGGCACCCTCGAATCGGAATGCTAAACTTGTGTTGAGTAACAGCCCAAGCCGAGGTCCCCTCTCGGGGACCCTTGAGCCTAATCATTCCATGGAGCGCCCTAAGAGCTTGGCGGCCTCCCAGAACCGGTGATAATAATAGCGTGACGGTCCGAGCCGAGGCTCCTCCGGGAGCCCTCGAGCTTAGTCACCATAATGCGTAATAATACGCCGAGGTTCAGGCTAGGCGCCCCGTGCGCCAGGCCACCTCAAGCCCGTTGGAACTGTAAAGGCCCCTAAGGCCAACGGTGGCTACCAAAAAAAAAGACTTAAGACAGTAGTGCTCAATGTTATCTAAGATTTGAGCTATCTATTAAAAATGAGCTATATATTTTGGGTCGAAGGCCAATTATTATATAATGACACTGAATGAATAATGAATGAATAATTTCAATACTATTTGTAAGGAGCCAGACCTGGCCAGAGCTAAAAAACATTCCATAAAATTCATACAACCAACACAAATAACAACAATAATACCTAATAATTAAACTTTTCAGCGTATACTTCGCACTCGCGGGTCGTAGCAAAACGCTTGAAACATTTTTCTCTAGCACACATGCGCAAATCTACGATAAGTTTTCACTTAGTTCTTCGCGATTGTTTACGACGGCTCCGTTTATACTTTTTTATAGATCTGATAGCGCTATGTTAGTGAATTGTTAGGTATTTTATTATATGTTAGCCGCTTTTTTACGCTAATGCCAATTTCCGTGACAAATTTATGCCTGGTATGCCGAGGGGGACTGGAAATTAATTTATTTCCGTTGGTTCTTTATTCAATTTACAGAAACATCTAAGTTAACAGTAAAGGTAAATGAATGAAGTGCTATGGGGGATATGCGAAGTCTGGTATAAAACATATGTTTCGAATAATGAGAAACAAAAAGGAACAATTCGTAACAGTTGCCATAAAGTCCTTGAAACGAATTAAGTGTGCTAAAAATTTAAGAATAAAATATAGGTACATTAAATGTTAGTACATATTAAGATTTGTGTTATTGCAGTGTAAAGGCTGAAACAACATATGCGTGCGTCTGGTTCTGCGTATTATTCCGCATTTTATTTATTGTAATATTTGTATTTTAATTCGTATCTTCAACCTTAAAATGTTGATGCTGTTGTAAGACTGACCTGTCAAAATGTATCAAATCTTAGTTACATTAAATTTAATATTTAGCCGTGATACGTTTACGTAGCTGTGATAGCTCAGTGTCCGAGCGCTCGACATTAATTCAATAACTCGAGCAACCTGAGCTCGATCCCCGGTTTCGGCACCAATGAAATTGTTTTCTGTTCGGTTTCTGAACATTGATCATCGTAGAAGTTAACTAATCACTTGTCAAATGACATTTGAAAACCCTACAGACCATTTGACAGCTGATTAGTTAACTTTACGATGATCAGTGTTTCAGAAACCGGGCGTAAGTGTTTTGCAGGGATCTTCGCTTATCGTTCGCACTCGCTTTCTTTTTAAACGGTTTTATTTAGCTCGACCCGTACGGAATTTGTTTGTTTGGGTCAAAATTAGAAAATGAAATTTAAGCACCTTGCCGTTGTCAGATTGATCTGAAATTTGGTACACACATTTAATTTAGATGACAATACAATATTAACAAAAAAAAATTAACAAAAAAAAAAAAACATAAAATAAAACCGTTTAACTTAAAAGTTTTTAAACGGTTTTATTATAAAGAATAGTTAATTTTGTGAGGGTATTACTAAGTCCAGTTTTACCTCTACGATTCGTTCCAAATCGATAAAAATATCTTTCTCGTTTAAGGTCATCACGGTGACGTCGTCATGAACAAGTCGAAATCGAGGGTTGCGATCTCCCAGTATCACCTGAACCGTTTCAAACGCGACAGCAACCGCGATGTCGTCGCGGAAGCTGCACCCAGGCCCGCCCAGGTAGACGTTAAAAAGAAAAAGCGCTCAACGAAAGGCTTTCAAATTCGTAACTGATAGGAGGAATGATTGTATGCATTGAAAAAATTTAAAAAAGAAAAATAACTGTAGTATGCTCGAAAACGCTAACAAGATGAAAGGTAAAAAATTCAACAATACTGATCATGCCGAACACGTGGGTTCGATTTCCACAGCGGCGACAATCTTTTCATACTTTTTCTACAAATTTTAATACTGATAATATTGGTATGTTCTACTTTTAGTCATGTGACTAGAATCATGATGAACATGAATGTGGTTGGAAGGTGCAAAGCTAGAGCAAGACCGAGAAAGATTTGGATGGACTGTGTGAAGAATGATGTCTGTGAAGGGGTCAGTGTTGAGATGACGGCTGATAGAGGACATGGACCAACCTCACCTAGTGTGGGATAAGGGCCGGAGAAAGAAGAAGAAGAAAGATTTGTATGTTCTACTTTTATACTCAATTATTCGGAGAAACCGTTAACTCGGGTATTCCATGATTAAGGAAAACATCCAGTACATTCCTGTTGTTCTCCAACGCAAAATCGATTTTGCGCTTATTTCTAACTTGAAAAAAATTTATTTTCGAACAAATCGAACATATGAGGCACTGTGTTGACTCAAATGTCAACGGACAAAAATAAAATGGACCAATAAAAATTGTCAAAAATTAATCTAAATATTACATCCACTAAACCAAACACTACCATGTGTGCCTATTTTATATTCATATTAGGTCTTATGTTAGCCGTAAATCAATATACTCGATCAACATGAACTCAAATTTTGCTAGTACCGGTGTCGGTACCAATGGACTTGTTAATGGCAATTTTAATTGCTAGCTTATCAAGTGCTCAGCGGTGAAGGTAAGTATCGTTAGGAAACCTGCATATTATCGAAATAATAGTAGAAAAAAATATTTCAAAGATATGTATGTGAAATCTGCCAATCTGCAGTGAGTTATCGTTATAGCGTGTCGTTATCCTAAGCAAGTAAGCACTATAACATACGCAGGCTTATAATTATGTTACTTTCCTTTTCTTCTTTTTAGTCCAACCCCTGCACCTACGCTTGTGGTGAAAACGCTGACTGCAATCTGAAAGGTTCCTTGATACCCGTCTGCTCCTGCCCGGTGAACATGACCGGCAACCCGTACACCTACTGCTTTCTTCTGGAAGCGTCGGAGTGAATTTTAGTTCTAGAGGTTCTTCGGAATCTTTATTATACTACTTTAAATGTTATTTCTTATTTAGGTTATATATCAAATACCTTATATTGATATTATATATCTTACTAGCGAACTGCCCCGGCTTCGCATGGTGCAATGTATTATACATATAAACCTTCCTCTTGAATCACTCTATCTAGTAAAAAACCGCATCAAGGTCTTGAAGTTTTAAAGATCTAAGCATACATAGTATTATACTATGTAGTGATATCTCTTTCCCTATACAACATTGTGTAAGGTTTACGTCCCTACGCACGTGCGTGCTACGATATGTCACCATATCTTTGGTTCACTGGTAGAAAATGCTTTTGGGCAGTAAGCTCGCCCCTTTGCTTTTTTAAGTAAAGTTCGAAATAGAGCTACAATAAATAAATAAAATAATCTGTTGATAAATCTGTTTTTTTTATTGTATTTACATGGAGAATTGTGTTCTAAATCCTTGTTGTGCCAACGCCAAGTGCACCCTCGGCCAGAACCAGCGCTGTCGGATAAATAAAATATTTCCTCAGTTAATTTTATCCGATAAAAATTATATTGAGTTAGCTCAGTGTCGCCTTTAGTTCAGTTTACTCGAGAAATCTGTTCGATCCGCGGTGCCGGCACCAATGATAATGTTAATTTTAAGTGTTGACTTATCACGTGCTGGTGTGAGAGTGCGCCACCTACGCGATAATCATCTTGGAGTCTGCGGCTATAAGCAGTGATGCGTCTTGAGGCGCTTGTGCGGATGATCCGCACCTAACATAATCGTGTGGTGCACAACAATTAACTTTGACATTGACACTTGATTGACCATCCGCCAACTGCGTACCGTGCGTTATGGAATTTCGTGAGTTCGTGTCAAAAATAATATTCGGAGATGTTTTATGTTGTTGCAACATTTCGAATGCCAGATAAACTTTGAAACATGGACACGAAACTCAAAACATGTCACTTAGATATCCTATTAGTTGTGACAAGCTTTGTCTGGAGTTCAATGTTTAAGTATACACCGTAAGATATAGGCACTCATACCCAAAGACAATATTTTCACTGAAAATGAGGTTTCTCGATTTAAACTTTTATCACTATTTTAGCCCTTTAATCTGCAGCTTCATTAGCTCTTTAATCTGAGTGAGCGGCAGTGGAGAATTTGTAAAGAGGTTAGTTATTCATATCCATTAACTAGCTATGGAGTTAACGGTAACCGTAACGTACTTTTGTAAGGAAAGTGAATGAATGAATATTTTTTTTTATTTCGTTTAGTTTCGTTAAAAGAATATATAACTAGAATATATATGAATACTAAATAGTTGTGTGATCGGCACGATCTACCGTTTTTCTGTACATACAAAAAGTAGGAAACATTGATTTGTATAGTATTTCTATAATAATAACTGTATTGTGTAAGATGTAAAACAATAAATTAAGACTTACTCCATTGTCAAA